TAGAGTTTAGATAATATGGTAATAAATGTTGTGGAAAATTATTATATTTAATATAAAATGATATAAATTATAGTAAACATGTTTTCTGCATTTAAAACTATAGAATAACTATTTTTAATTAAGTTAGTTTTAAAAATAGTTTCTACTATCAAATGTTAATGAATTATAGATATTTATTAATTAAAATTAAATTATATTAAACTTCATAAATAGTATATGTATATGTTTACAGTTTTTGTAATATTATTTAACACAAATATTAGGTATGTAGGCTAAAATGGTATGTTAGCAACGAGTAAAAATGGAGTACTTTTCAATTGACATTAATATTATTGATAAGGTGTAAGACCTCTTATAACAATATGGTACTAAAGCAATATTTATTTTGTATTGAAGTTCATTATAATTGATAATTCAAATTCACGTCCGATTTCTATAACTTATCAAACCCTAAACATGAAATAATATTTATATAATTTCAATATAATATCTCTTAAACAATAAGTATTACAGTTATAAGTATCGGGATATTTACTTATATAATGAATCAGGCAGAATATGTGAGAGTATGGTGGGAAAGTTACTGTTTGACTGTGTAAATAATGATAAGGTATTTAGTTTACAAATTACATAACTTTCAAACGACTTTGTAAGATTTATTTAATTGAATCAAGTTTTAAGTATATTTAATTTATTAAAATTTATAACCTATTTAAATATAAATATATTTCACATTGGATTTGATAATTTAATAAAAATAAGCTCATAACTTAGAATTACAGTATAATCTAAAAACATAAATCCTAAAATCTAATCTTACAATGGGTAGATGTTGCTTTTATGACAAATTTTAATAAATTATTATTAATAATTACTAAATAATATTACTACTAGTTTTAATTTTATTTTGCATGTTAATAAATATAAATTCAATCAATTATATTTTGGTTATAATGATCAGGGTAACCGAAGTATTTTTATTTCTCTTTATTTAAAATTAAAAGCTATGAATTAGATTAAATATAGAGATATAATATTTTCGTAATTATTATACATATAATATTAAACTTGAATTGAGGATATTTTTAGTACTAAACTATTTGGGAGTCAATGGTAACAGATATAAAGAATATTGTTTTTGACTTATAAATGATAAACGGATTATAACTGACTTTCATTTGATTTGATTTGAAATATAAATTTATAAAGAAAATTCAAACTGTACTTCACTCTAACGATGATTTTCATAATTATTATGAGATTTATTGTGAATATCATTTGTTAATACAGTAATTAATAAAATGTAATGTTCAGAATAATTGTCAATTTTGAACGTTAAACTCGTTTAAAGTAACTATAAATTAAACCGATAAGAATAATACAAGTATATACTTATTTTTAAAATAATTAATTTTCACTATTAATTGTAATAGATTTGATCATTAAATAAAAATGTAAATTATTAGATTATTATTTAGACACATAATATTTTCACTAACAATTTAAGAGTTTTTAAAAAATAATACTGAATTAAATAGAAAATTATTAGAGATTTTCTATGTTTCAGTTTTAAAGTTAACTTGCTTAGTGATTTCTATGCACTGTAAAGTAACTATAAAAACTATAGCATTGAGTGCAAGTGTAGAACTGTTAATTGAAATTTAAATTCAGTATGGTCAATTAATAGCGCAAATGTTAGCTGCTATCACAAAATTTTATTATTATTTATAATGTCAACAATTATTCACAAAAATATACAATAAATGTATTTACAAGACTGGGAAATACAGGTACTCATTAACGTGTCTCAAATTCTGACCCCGGACCATTTTGAAATAGCCGGCTTCGCCCCACCCGGTGCCCCAGCTATTCTTAATAAGCCAGTAGTCCTGGCCATTCTCGGTACCCCAGCCCACGATGATAACGGCGTGTGAGCCAGTCCATCCCATGTCATTGTGGGTCAAAACACCGCTCTTATAGCCGGAGAAGTCAC